ACAGACACACACACACACACACACACACACACACACACACAGAGATTTCATTGATTTATTTCCCAAATTGCACTGCATGCTCTAAAATACACCTATGTTTCAGGAGTTTAGGACACAGAATAGGACAATAACTATTTTTATTTCCTATTTGAGTTTATGTATATGCCTTATTTTTTAAGATTAACTGTTTTTTTTTCCCAAAGTATTGTTAGATGCCAGTGTTTCCTGTCATAGCTATGCAAGGATTTGATTTGATTTCAAAGACAGTATCATAGCTATTGAACTCGTTCTGGTTATGATTATGATTATAAATCTGTATTTAACCTCTCAAAAAGAGATGCTAAAGTCTGATTTTGTGATGGCGGTGCTTTAAAATTAAACCATTATAATCTTAATTGAAGTGATGAAGAAAGTCTGACAGTAATGAGTGTTGAGCACTACTGTAAGGTTAACCCTGCCTGCTTTAAATGTTTGAAGATGATTAACAGTTGAAAATATTCTTTAGAAACGTAGAAAAGTAATCAAATGTAATCAGTTACATTAATAAAGTAACTGAAATAGTTACACTACTTATTACATAGGGTAACTTGTAATCTGTAACCTATTACATTTCCAAAGTATTAACATTACGCAACAACACAAGTCCAACATTAGTAACATTACGCAGCTCAAGGTTTTTGTACACTAATTTTAAAAAGCCAGTCTAAAATTACTGCTCACATGATGACGATAATTTTTTCCCCCTTTTAAAACTCTGTTGACTGCCAGCTTTCAGTGGCACTGAAATTAATGAATCCACCACATTTTATAAAGAGCCTCATTGGCATAGAAAGGAGGCATGTTTACACAGTAAACAATGACATTTTAAATACTAAACTCTATAGTGGCACAACTGTTGACTTCGCCTGACTGCAAATCTGTGCCACCAGTGTGCTAGAAATTCAACACTTAAAAAAAGAACCTTGATCAGGTTCGCTCAGCTGTAACACTGGACAATCTGTTTAAACGGGCAGGAATCGATAACAGATCTGTACAGGACTGGACGTGGGCACTGAAGTCTTTACCTATTGATTGAGACATTCTCAGTTGAAGTGTAGTCCTGTTTTAATAGCGTTATTAAGAGGTTTCCCCTCAGTGGCCTGTGTAATCCTGGGCAATCGCACTCAGGAACAGCCGCTGCAGCTGGCCTAATAGCTTTAACCTGACTCCTGGTGGAAGTCACGGCTAGTTTTGACAACCGGCATTAATACGATTTTTTGCACTGTTCAAAATGATCGTTTTAGTCATAGTGCATCCTTCTTTAAGACATTTATGCCTCTCTCTGACTGCATTTGCATGCACAAGGATATTCTCATATTTATTGGAATTTGGTCATGTTTTGATTATGAAGGTATGGTGACACATCGCTGCCACACATATTATTTTTTCCACTCAAATATGTCGTAATAACGAGATGTTATGGCATAATTATCTCGTTAAAACAACATCTTTTCTCGAAATATTCCAAGACCAGGTTTGATCTGATCATCTTAAACAAGTCATATCCTCTGGGTCTGATTGCAATTACTGGATAGCATTATATTGTAGAAAGATTGGAGATTAATCCTAATAATGCCACTTCAATAAAAACAATAACATTAAAATACATTTAAAACAGTGTAACTTCAGGAGCGTGCAGATCCTCGTTTATCTCAGGACTGTGGCGACAGCAGCGCGGACAATCACCTCGCTCACATAATGTAACATATCTTCTATGACGGAAAAAAACATTGTTTTTGTGACATATGTCGTTATTACGAGAAAATGTGTGTTGTTTTAACAAGAAAAAGATATAATTTTAACGAGATAATTATGTCATTTTAACGGCATAAAGATGTAGTTTTGACGAGAAAAAGATCTTGTTTTAACGACATAACATCTCGTTATTTCGACATAATGTGAAAAAAATAATATGTGTGTGGCAGCAATGCGTCACCGTATAAAGGTGCCATGTAAACATGTTTTAACCCAATTTACCATTAGCCAATATTTTAAGCTAAGGAAGCCTGCTTCTGCCACTGAATTTAAAAAAAAAAAGGTAATTGCAACTTTTTTTTATCTCGCTATTCTTTTTCTTCAAATTGCCTGATATAAACTCACAATTCTGACCCTTTTCACAGAATTGCAAGATGTAAGCTCGTAATTACAAATTATAAAGACAGAACGATATAAAGTCTCAATTGCATGTTATAAAGTCAGAATTGCGAGTTTATATCTAATAGGGTCGCAAAGGGGTGGAAAATTTCCGGCAACTTTCCAAAAAATCCCTGGAATATTCCAAAAAAAATCCTGGAAAGTTTCCAACATTTTTGGAATATTTCCGAAATTTACTGGAAATTTTCCACATTTTTGCAACCCTAATATCTAATAATTCTAACATTATATCCCGCGATTCTGACTTTATAATACGCAATTGTGAGTTTATATCTCGCAATTCTGAGAAAAAATAATTGTGAGATAAAAAGTCAGTGGTGGAAACAGGCTTCAATAGACAACTGACAAATGCCATGTAACATTCTTAGGATCTTTCACTGCAACAAGAAACTCAAGTTTGTAAAGAAGATTTGTGAGAAGAGAGATGGAGATTTTTGCAATAATATTTAAAAGGCCTGATTTTTGTGTGAACACATTTTACCAAAATGTGATGGACAAGAAAAGACTAAAAGTGAGAATGGCACTGACCGGAGGAAAGCAGGATCACGGCTTGCAGCAGTGCCACCTCCGAATCATCCAGGTTGAAGGAGGACAGCGAGACGCCCAGATCAAAGATGGCGTCTGAGACCACGCCCAGACCCCCGTTCTTGAGCTGGCCCCGCGTGACGGCCATCTCCCCGTTCAGCGTCAGAGTCTCGCTCTCGGGATCGTATCGCACCGCCGCTCGCAGGGACATGATCTCCATACAGCAGCCCTTCAGCAAAATGATCTGGTCCTCACAAGGCAGCTGAACAATGACACAAATTACACATTTATCACATTCATAATATGTATAATTGTGTATCCAAACATGGGTAACTTCTAAAATGAGTTGCATTTAAAGTTGCAGAAAGCGATTTCTGGAAAACGCTGTTGATATTTGAAATCACCAAAACAAATAAGCCCTTACCCAAAAGGATCACACCCCTGTCTTGATGCCTGTTCATATATATGCTATATAATAACGATTAAGGGGTTAAAGCGGTCACTAAAATCTCACTTTCGGACACACTTCTGGAGTCGACGCTTGAAGCGGACTGTGGAGAAGGTTTAGACATTCCAGGCTTATAAGGCGTGGAAATTAATGTCTATTTATCATAGCTGAAGCGAAGGAAAATAATAATGCAAATGAACAAACAAGCGAAGATGACACACGAGTATATTCAAGCAAAAGACAGCATATCTTAGTTGTGTGAAATGCAGCAAAAGCAATGTTACTCGCATATCAAGAAGAAATAAAGCATCCGTTTTCAGGTCTTCCCGCTCTTTAAGGTCTCTCCATCGCTGGAAAGCTTCTCCAATATTAACGCGAGGCCTGATCGTAACCCTTCTTAAAGTTATACTCCCCTGACTAGGGATGTCTTTTGTCTAGGTTTTTGTGCCCCCGATCTGATCTGAGTCAATGAATATTGAGTATCTGCCGATGCCGAGTCCCGATCCGATACTTGTATTTCCTAGTGTATGGTGCTCACTTATTAAACCAAGATATTAAGTTATTAATCCAATCAAACGTATACAGAATTGTGCAGAGAGTATATATATATATATTATAATATGATACAATCCATCTACGTATATATATATATATATATACATATATATATATATATATATATATATAGTACTGTGCAAAAGTCTTCGGCCATTAGAATTTTCACCAACAAAAAACTAATGGTTTTAAGTCAGCTGTTTCTATCTTTTGCTGTAGTGTGTCAGTAGGAAATATCAGTTTACATTTCCAGACATTACTTTTGTCATTAATTGTAGGCTACTAATCCAGTGAGATTTTTGTATGCCCAAGGAGTCTGACAACAGCCAGTGCTGCACACATAGATCTGATCGCACCATCATCCAGTCTGTCTGAGATTACATGAAGAAACTGAGACAGACTAAATCCAGAAGAACTGTGTCAACATCTACAAAACACTTGAAGAACAACTGGCTGTTGTCAGACTCCTTGTGCATACAAAAATCTCACTGGATTATTACAATTAATGGCAAAAGGAATGTCTGGAAATGTAAACTGATATTTCCTACTGACACACTACAGCAAAAGATAGAAATAACGGACTTAAAAGCATTTTTTGTTGGTGAAAATACTAATGTATAAAGGCATTGGTAGACTGTAAACAGACTGTGTGGTCACAATTATGAATATGGGACTGGTGATATAAAATCCTCCTGTTTTAAATGTAAAATAAGCAGAATCATTGCAACATAAAGGGAAAAAAGTGGAGACATGGTTAGAAAGCATGAAGCTTGCGGTGTCAGAATGCCAGTCTGTCATAAGCACAATTGAGCTTCTTCTTTTCCTTTTAACGGCGGTTGGCAAACACACTTAGGGATGGGTGTATCGATCCTGAAGTATCGATATATCAATACTGATGCGAGTATCGAAAATATCAATACTCAAAAAAAAAATATCGATACTAAGGTGTTTTATTTACCAGTGATTTTGTTTAACAAAAAATAATAATTAATGCATACAATATGCATTGAATTGGACGAATAACCTATGTTAGCGAATAATAATTGTGTAGGATAGAACTATTTTCCTGCTTATCTAAACGCATGCAAATGTTGCAAGAAAAAACCAATCAATCACAGAGAGCGTTCACTCCCAAAAATATAAGAAAGCATTGACGCTTTTGAGAACGGCAGCCCAGAACAATGCTTATCAGAGGACAGAAAAAAACATGTTTGAGTTATTTCACAATAAATAAACTGAAATTGTAGCCTACATAGTTTGTGCAATTACATTTATTTAAATGGAACGTTAAAAGTTCATATTGGTCATGTTCTATTCAGTAATGTTAGTATAAATCATACACTGTCAGAATAAAAACGTTGCATTTTATGCGTGCAACAGCCTGTCACTGGCAGTCCCTTATGAAAATGAACTATGGTTTTACTAAAGTGACCGTAGTTCAACTATAATATTTGTAGATTTCCATGGTTACCACTACAGTAAAAATATTTTAACCACGTGTAAACAAAAGTATAACCTTGCAATTAAGGCGTTGTAATTAAGGCGTATTGAATGCTAAAATGCGTTTCAAATATAAAGTTAAGTGGATATCATTACCCATTTTACTCTTAATAATTTAATAAATTTCATAATTTAAAAATTCAGTTTAGAAGTATCGTATCGGTATCGATATCGACAATACTGGCCTTTAAATGTATCGGTATCGTATCAAAATCAAATGAAGTGGTATCGCCCATCCCTACTTAAAGGTGCATACTGCCACCTACTGCACGACACCGGCATGACAGCTGACGTAAAATAAGGATCGGCACAGGATAGCCGTTACCGATCAGCTAAAAAACGCTCAATTGGCCCATATCCTGATCCTTGAGATCAGGTTGGGACATCCCTACCCCTGACCTTTTCCTCTTTTGTATTTTCTCTGTCATCTCTCTCTATATACAGTCGTTCTGCTACTGTCCGTCTTGTGCACTGAGCTTTCTGTCCTCCCCCATCATGAGTGTATACGCCCCTTCGTGCTGACTGGCTATAAGTGTGTTTTGGTGCTCGGTCCGATCCACTTTTTAACAGCGTTTTTCAAACATCGCTTACTGCACCTTTAATCTCATTTTTAAAGTATTTAATTCCCTCATTGTGATTCATCTTCGGTAGCTTTGATACATTTGTTCTACAGGACATCGACCCACATCAACCAACCACTTGGTTGGATGTAGTTTCGAAGGAGTTTCATTCCCTGTGTTTGATGCACTGTACACAGAGCTGGGTGGTAACTGATTACATGTAATCTGGATTACATAATCAGATTCCAAAAATAAAGTACTTATAATTAGAGTATATTACATTTCATAATACTCATAATCAGATTAAAGTTACTTTTGTATGGATTGCATGATTATATATTATTCACACAATGACGGTAAATCTTTCATAATTTATAGATTCTTCCTAATTCTTCTTTTTTTCACTTTTTAATTTTCCTCTCTCTACTGTGTGTCATACCATTTAGCTTTGACTATATTCACAGTATAGAATGGTCATGTAAATGACATGTAAATAACTTTGCAAACCATGCTTCGGAATCTGGGTGAAAAAGGCTCCTCTCAAGCAATTAGAACATGTATGAAACAGATAATTATGCAAGTTACTAAACACTGGTGATGCATAGCTGTGTCTTCATCATATCCAGTGACCTTCAGTAACTGAAAGACTTTGGGAGTGTAATGTTTGACACTAAATATTTACTTGAAATATATCTGAGGAAGTTAATATTTCAAATAATTTAACAACATTCACATGTTTACAGTTTGATGTCGCTTAGTGGTCACACTGACATGCAGGCAAACTAATTAAATATTTCTATTTTAAGTGTTCAAGTGTTTAAGTAATTTATTTTACATTTTTATGATTTAATATATTATTAGCTTTTTATCATCTCACAAACCCACTGCAGTTTTTACATTAAGCGCAGTTTGGGAAACCCTGGTTTAATGTAATGTCTAATGCATTTTTTGATGTTGAATATATGTTCTTTCTATTTGCTTATTCATATCAATCTCTGTATCAGCTCTGATTGTTCTTACCTCACAGAACATGGGCAGCTTTTTGGCAAAATCCACAACACGAGTGATGGCGGGGGTGATAATTTTTGTAAACTGACTGAAGGCTTCGATGTCCACTTTGCTCCCCTCTGGTGCGTTGACGATGGGTGCAGAACCGATGTCCTCGGGCTGCAACGACAGGAAGGGGAGGGGCATCGAGCTCAGTAACACAGGCACTTACAGGAAGTGGACAATCACAGAGACGAAGGTGTGACACAGCAAATCCTCATTCCCCTCTAAAGCACGAAGAAGGCCAGAGATACAGCAAGACATCATCGAAACAAGAGTGGAGCCCAGTTATTAAGAGGGAAAAGAGGAAAGATGAGAAACTTAAACTAGAGGAAGATCAGAGCAGAGAAGCATCTTTGATATCTCCTTCTGTGTGGAGCTCATTGACTAGGGTTATCCACTGATATTTGGATGTTATTTTTATTTATTTCTGTAAAGATTTGTGCCCTTCTGACCAGAAAAATGTGATGTGAAAGACATAGCAAAAAAAAAACAGAAAGCCAGACTGAGGGTCAAAAGAAGACTGGGAGCTGAGTACAGCACAAATCCAGCCTAATGTTCCCTGGTGACATTAGTCAATTATTCAGCTTTCCTCTTCTGTGTACACCTTCATTCTGACACAGCGAGCAGAGAGCTACACAAACACGCCAAACAAATGCCTTAAGCATTCAGCA